TTGTAATTTATGAATATGTCTGAAAATTATCTTTTCAATCTGTAAAATTGTATCTTATTTTGTTAAAAACAAATTAATTAAGAATTTTCAAATTCCTTGCTGTGAGAAAGAAACAATTTATATAAAATGTCAATAAATTGGTTTAAGCCTTGGGCAAACTAAGCTCTTAAGAAACCAGTTTTTTTTTATCTTGTCTGTCTTTAACCSTATCATCTTCATTTATTCCAAGTGGACACTTCAATTTGTGGAAGCTAGTACATTTGTAAGTGGAAATCATAAAAGGAATAGTCTTAAATCCAAAGATAATTAAGATACAAAGATACAAGATAATATAGAATTTATTGTGAAAACAAGAGAAGAAAAGAAATGGATATATTTTAGATTTTTAGATGTGATTAAATGTATGATTTACAATAGTGTTACTGCAGAAGGGTTGTTAGTCTAAACTATGCAGATAGTATCAATAATTGTTTAGAAAAAGAGAATTAATGTTATTTTGTGAGACTTAAACTCAACCATTGTATTATAAAAATTGAATAATGCAGGATTGTCAGTATTATGTGTTGTAAAGCTTTCTTCTATTCTTAAACAGRATTTCCCTGTTAGAAGTACAGTTTCTTGTGAATGGTTCTAAGAGGATTCTGTCTAATATTAATTAAATATCCTCAAAAGAAATTGCTTCATACTTAAAAAATGACCACAATCATGTCAAAATAGAATTTATAAAATTATTTTGATACAATAACAAACTCTCTGAGTGAGTTCATTTCCTTTTTATTTATCCTAGCAAATTAAGTACTTGGTATAGAATTGGATGATTTTTCTCTAAAGGAAATATTATATAATATAAAAATCGTACAAAAAAGCCACAACATGTTTGTCCAACTAATACACACCCAGGGGGAGGGATTGCAATCAAGTAAAAAGGAAAAGAAATAKTTTTTCATGCTATCTCATATCATTCTTCCATCAGAGACATACATGACCATGCTTTTAATCTTCAATACACATTTTCTCCATTAACTGACCTCATTTGTCTGATGTATGCTGATAACAATTGTCAAAAAGAATATTAATCATTCTTTAAAACATTTTTTTCATTTAAAATTCAATAAAAAATTGTATTTAAACTACAATTCTCAACATCAACATTTGGTAAACAAAACGGATCTACTATTTGTGCAATATAGAATTCTCCCATGCTGTTTATTCTTAATCGCTTTTGAAAGGAAAACCGGCACCATATTTTTACCTGTGGGAAGCTTGAGCAATCCACATGAATGTGGTGATATATAATTGCATGTACATGAGCTCAAAATGCACTTTCGAAAAAATAAAAAAATCTATACAAAACTATTTAGAAATGAGAAAATGTAGTTCTTTAAACTCACAAGAGGGTTATCATAAAATAAGACTTAATATTATTGAAGTGAAATTGCTCTTCAGTAAATTAGCCAGATCATATAGAAAAGGTGGCGTTGACACACATCTTAACTCAATGCAATAAACTCAGGTTTTATGAGTCACGGAATAATCGGGCAACTGGAATTGATATATTGTAAGTTGTAAGATATAGCTCTAACTAGTTAATGCTGAAGTTTTCCCCTCAAATGATAACTTATATGGGTTTATACAGGTATAACATAATCTAAGTTTCCAACCGTATGTTGTACGTACCACATGACTGTATCAARATCAGTGTTGGGAAATCATTCCAGTTTCAAGAGAGAGAAAACATCGCATATTTGAGTATTATAAACTTACTGTGAAGTAGTCCTTGTTCTACGTGTAGGTACAGGACTAGGTACTAAAAAAGGGAGAGATCMCTTGTGTTCTGGGGAGGCTGAATGATCATGGACGTGATGTTTGGAAGGTGACGTTTTCTTGACATTACCCTGTTTTACAGGCTCAGCCTTTTCTTCGGCCACAACATTTTTCTCAGAAGACATAACTACCAACAAAATACAAAATGATGACTATCAAATTAAACTTAAGCCATAAATACAATAAAGATTCTGATKAAAAATGTGGATTTGAAACCGACAGATCTTTGCAYTGGCAACAATTCGTACAAGCTTTTTGCATGAATTTGACAACTTGGACATACCAAATGCATATTTTCAACGATGCTTATAAATTACTTATGCAACCGCAGTACAAAAAGACGACATACCTCTCTAGATGAAAATAAAAATCCCTACAAAATGATTAATCCCGGTTTTTCAAGACTGTGCAGCCACTGCAACCATGATCATATCTCCTGATGATCTAGTGCCAGGCCTTCACTGTCGAGTCTCCGCGGSGAAGTCTCTCTTGCCGCTTCTAATCAATATTTGTGTGAATCGCATAAAACTGAATATTTGAAAAAAAGAGTGAATGAAAAGTAGTACTAAAACGCTTTCTATAAGAGAATTATCTCCCGAAATTAAATTAGATTTCAACTCTTTTCAATATTCGGAAAGTTCTCGGTAGCCGACAGCTTCGGMAGGAGTTCGGCTRAATCTCAAATCGAGGCACTTTGCATTCAAAAATGGCGCGGTTGATTAATGTTGTGACATTGTTGTTGTTATTATTCAGAAATCGTTGTATTTTATCCAGTTAAATGTGTTGTCGTTGATATTATAACTTCTCGAAGTTATCCAGAAAGTTCCAAAGCAGGGAGAGCTTGTATAAAGATGGAATTTGAACAATATTTTCAAGAACTCCAAACGTGCGACGACAACTTGGCAGATGAGGCAGAATGCAACTACTTCGATCTGATCTGCTCAAAATCTCAACAATCCATGCTTAGTTTCAATGGTGCACATATACTGCCTCCTATTGTAAGTATTCGTCAAGTTTATGATTGAATTATTTAGGTTTTACAAGTCTATTGTATTGTTATCTTCGATTTTTGTATTGTTTGTGAAGTTTGACTTTCATTTCATCAGAAAAAGAACTTAGATCATGACTCACACCCAAGCTCAATTATATGCTCTGAATCTTGTCTGCTTTATTTTCACTATAATTCTATAATATTTTGTACTTTCGTGTTTTGTACATGTAATAGTTTTGTTGAATTTATGTAGGTGTTAAGTTGTTGTTGACAGATATAGTTCATTTCTTGTCGTGTTTGTTGATACATTGTGCAAACATATTGTCTCCGACAATTTAAGCTTTAATAAGCTTTGGTACCACAATAAGTTTAACATGACTGTATAATTAAATTGCAAACGTCAAATACGCATCAATATAACAGAATTATCACTTGAAATTCTTTTATTTTGTTAAAAATTAGCTTTCAGAATCAGACAGACAAGCAATGCGGGAGTTCAGGCGAAAAGCAGTCAATTTAGAACGTAAATTGTTTGAATCAAGAAGAGAAAAATATTCTCACCTCCTGCTACAAGTCATGGAACTGACAGATAATTGRCAGGTAAAGCAGATTTGTTTGAGTCATTGTCCAGAATTTTTGTTTGTCAAGTCATAAATAAGTAAAAAAAGAAAGAGAGAGAAAAAAAGTGAGAGTAGAGGAAATTCTAACTGTTTGAACTAATGTTTAGGAGGACTCAGCCATCTTCATTAATTTTGTGATGTGTGCTACCGCAATTTATAATATGACAATATCTTTGTAAGTTATGAAAAAATATAAAGTCGTTTCCTCTTTTAGGCTTTGAAAGGGAGTGGAAGTAATGTTGACAAAGTTGAAGCAGTTGAACATTGGTCACCTACAACTCAGTCATCACCAGAAAACTTACCAGTTGCATCATCAACAGGAAGCAAAACAGCCCATGAAACAGTAAAAGAATATTTGGAAATAAAACAAGCAAAGGAAAATAGAAATGAAGAGAAAAACAACCAAACTCACGAAAAGAATAAATTTAAAGACTATAAAACTAATGATGATGATGCAATGCATTCATTGATTTATCAGAAACCTAAAATACACAATTCATCATCTTATCATACTCAAAATATTGCCAAGAGCTTCAACTCTTCTCTCCATAGTAATACACCAAWAGATTCAAGTAGAWGTGAATCAGTTCAGAMTTCAAGGAYTAGTGCTTTGATGGGTGGAAGTGTRGGATCTTCCAGTAGTACTCTGAAAGCATCTTATGAAAGTACAACTCCTGGTGAAGGAATTAATAGTAGGCATGATCTCTATAGTCCAGCGGATTCTRTGGCATCAACYGTTTTATCTATGGCATTTACAGGTARAATATTTGTGTATAGAATTACAGGGCAATAATTTGTTGGGTAAAAATTTCCCAAGATTTTTTTTCCATGTTAAAATTGAGCTTTATTTTTAACAAWTWTATATTCAAACMTTTCCTTRYAAGATTCCAGTTTTGTTTCCCAGCATTCTGTGCTGGAACAACCATCAAAGTCTGCACAACGTCAGTTGAATATGGACCAGGCCAACCATARACTTTATGAATCATARCARCATAAAGCTAACCCACTAACAAGCACTCCAACAGATGTCCATCAGCGCCAACAAAAGCAAAGACCAGCGACTAAGAAGATTAACGCACCAACCAGCAGAACTAACACCTCAGGACGTGTGTATACAAAYGCTGATGCAGAACAAGACAAAGCTTTGGAAAAACTAGAAATTATGAAAAGAAAACTACTGCAGGAAAAGGAAAAACAAATGCTTGTTCTAAAACAACAGGAATTAGCGAGACTTCGCAAAGGAAAAGATAGATCACAATTGGGACATTATCCAGAAGYGACATCTGAGATGGGTTCCCAGGGACACTTTTCATCACGGCCTAATACTAGTGATATGTACTCTATTCCTGAGCAAAGCTTTGAAAATTCATCTTCGTTCAGACGAGATGARCATAATGAAGTTGAATCTGCATCAGACAAAGAAAATAATGTTTACAAAGAGGATATGGARAATTTACAACATAATGATTACAATGCAAATCATTTTGAACAAAAAATACCTTACAAAAATGAAGTTTATGATCTGCAAGAAAGGTTTTCAGGAGAAATTGATTCTAGGCCTATATCTGTGCAGTCTAAACAAAATATCAGTAAAGYAGACCGTAGGAAATCAAGTCTTTATGTCAGACAAGAGTTTCAAAAACAATTTGAGGTAAAACTTATTGATTATATATATATTAACAATAATGCTAAATAATTTTAATGAATATGCATGATGGCTCTTCAGCTTAATAAGGAAATTTGAAGCATTTTAGTCCTATAACTTTCCCATAGATTTTTTGACTTTTTGTTTGAGTACACAGCACACAGGAAAAACATTCAGGTTAAGAACCAGCATACCAAACAGCTTAAAATATAACTTTGTTTCTCGAAATTAAGCTGTATACCATTCTCTTAAAATGTTGTCAAAGGGGAACCAATGATTTGAAGTCTTTCTAGCTCTTTTTATAGCATTCTTTACTGCATTTAGTTATATCTTGTATTCTTCTTCTGTAGATTGAAGTGAATAAGGAAAATAATGGGAAAGATAAGTTCTGTATTRTGTCAGCATATGCCAAAGGCTTCATGACCAGACGTCTCTTAAAAACAGAAAAAATACAAACAATTGCAAAGACCATCAAGGTTGGTGATAACATTATCAAAGAATTCTGTATTTTTTATACTTTTGAATGTATTTTTACAGTGGACTGCATAGCAGAATGCAAGAGATAAATGGAGGGGAATTAGGAGAGCACTCTTTCTCATTTTCACAATTTCACAAAAAAGTCATGACAGCTACGAAAATGCTAATTTTTTACAATATTTATTATCTATTGTCAGGACACAAGTGAATTCTTATTGGATATTTCTAAAGAAGGAACAACCTCTTATCAGGATAAATCTTTACAGGAGAGAGTTCAAGCTCAGGTATGGATACTGTAACGGTACTTATTTGACCTTCCTAGAGACATTTAGCTGGGACATGTGCAATGCACAATGTTATAGAATTGTGCGTTTTGGATGTTTAAGGCTGATTTACAGGGTACGATTTGTCGCTCGCGACTTGTAGTATACGATTTTCCTACTACAAGTCGTAGGATTTTAAGCAGTGGRTCAAAACCCTACTACACGTCGTAGGTTGCGTACGACTGTTGTAGACAAGTCGTAGGGGCATTTACACTGCGCGATTCAAGTCTTATACTACAAGTCGCACGAGACAATCGTGCCGTGTAAATCAGCCTTTACATGTCAAGTTTAATTAAACTTGAAATGTCTTGAAAAGTATTTGTTACTTTGCATCTTGAGTCTTTAACTAGTCCTAAACGAGTTTGAGCCCAGACGTAACAGACACTAATTCAGTTATTAATTGATTAATTAATAACTGAATTYATTGATTAATTTGTTTATTAATTATTATCATCATATATCTATCCCATCTATCCAATAATTATTTACCACTCCTTTCACTTTTCAGTTATTTGCAGCCAAGTCCAAGCTGTATGATATTTTCTTCACTGTTCCAGTGTATGAAAGGATGGCATTCATATCTCATTCCAGAAATGCAGCTAAAGAAAGAGAGGACAGAATGACTGCCAAAGTAACTAATGAATAATTGGATAATCTTTTCTAAAAGAGAGATGTACTTTTCTAAAAGAGAAAGCATTAGTATTTCATGATATTTAGTTTTTGACTGTTCATGAAGTCTTGTAGAGAGCTTTTTGTAATATTATATCAATCTCAAAAATTATTCTATGACAAAATAATTATTACTATTGACAATGGAAATGAAATCTTCATGTTATCAGAAAACAGAAACCAAAAAGTTGACAAGAAAATTATCTGCTGCAACCATGAAGGCCATGCAACGAAGGCAAWGTGAAACATATCCTTACTTCAAAAGTATTTGCTTTATATGATYATATACTATAGATAGCATCTGATTATATTGTCATTACACACAGGGTCTCAATATTCCAAAGCATAATACAATGGTTTCCTTAGTTTCTGATGTTATAGACACCCAGTCGATGTAAATGTTGCTACATTCCTTGACTTTAACTCACTAGCTCATCTTCTGATGTAAAGAAAACTTCACCATCCAGRCAGCTTGGTAAAAGAAATATGGACACCAGGTAAGTCCTGCCATCTTCTGACAGCTACAAATAGACCAGTTAGATTACAGTAACACAAGACTAGTGAAAACGTTTTTAGACCATCCTCCCTACAGTTCCCCAAGACATTTTAGTAGGCAGCTGTGCCTTATCAGTGAAGCAAGAGGACCATCAAGCAGTTTAACCAGAAACGTTATTGACAGGTGTCTATCAAGGCCTGACTGACTTGCTTTTCTACRTTTAAAGATGGCAATGAGTTTTAAAATCAAGTATTAAATTGTCTATTATTAGTGATTGTAAATTTTGTAAATCTTGCACCAAAAGTCAAGAGTGGKCCCACGCTAAAAGTGACAAATTTGTTTCAGGGCTCTTAAGCCAGTGCAAAGTACCAAGTCACCCCAAGCTACTTTAAGGTATAAAATGAATGGAATAAAAMATAGCTAAGATGTTTAATGGCAGAAGCTATAGCGATTCTTTATTTTTTTTCTAAGGTCTCAAGTGAAAAGACGATCCCTTGCTTCTCCTCTAGCACGGCGCAGGTATTAGAAATCATGACATCATCGCTAACATACTTTAATCTTCATCATTACTAGCGTCGTCGTAAGCATCGTTYTCARTYTCATCATCATCACTATCATTGTGAACATCGGTGTCAATAATTGTCTAATTGTCACATTTGTAGTTTGCCCCTATGATTGCATACCTCTCCAGACAACATTGMTGACTTTTCCATTCATTWCTGTTTTTAGTATTGGCAAAAAGGTGACCAYCAATCGTCCAGCTACAGCCTTAGCAACCAAAGTACCCTCTAATAGAAAATCCATCGGTCGTTCAAGTACAGAAGCTGATAGATCAATGCGACAGCCTAGAACGAGTCTCGACAACCGACCACTKTCTTCCAAACGTAGCAAATCCGCCGCGGAAACCAGCGGCAGCAATTCAAAATTACCCGTGAAGAAACATGGAAATGGAGGTTTGACTTACAGAGTTTCTAAAGAAGATWCGGATAATGATAGACCCAAAAGCCGACCATCTACTGCACCATTCAATGGCCCATCTCARCCACCAAGCAAAAGGCAAACTGAAACTAGACCAAAGAGTACTATGAGTACAAGAAGAGTTACTCGGGCAATGGCTGCGCAGTTTAATAAAC